AACCCCCACCGTCGCGACCTCCGCCATCTATTGCCACCATAGTGCCACCTACACCTTCCAGCCACAGCTGCTACAGCCCTCCTCTTCTCGCATCCCTCTCTTATCGGCGATCGCTCTTGTTTTCCGTATTTGCGATCGACAGCCAGTCAGCCACACACGAGTTGTGTGTATTTTTGGGATGTTTGGAAGCAATTTTTTAAAGGGATATTGACACACTAGTACTTCCTGTTTGTACCATTCCGTTAAAAACTAAACCAAGTTATAGAAAGGGTTAACACTGTCATTTTCATATACATTTGACATTGAACTTGTTTGACCTTTACATATTAAGGTAATATGACTGATGATCGTATGTTATTGTTGATTTGCCATATTACGTGGCATATTCACCCTCTACTCATCCTTTATATAACCTAGCGATATATTGTTATGATTTTTACCTTAGGAAAAGATTGGTGCCCTAAAATGTCGACGACTTCTTCAACATTCTCCCCCTCACCTCTAAGGCTTGGATTCACCATTTGCTAATGTGGCATTCTATCTTGAATCCGCACATGAAGGACGGAAAGCAACCCTAGAAGAAAGTTTATGATATGCCCGGTATGCCATTTTTTTTTTTTTTTTTTTAGATTTTGGTTCATATTTGTTGTTGTATTGGTTATTTCACTCATTGATCCTCTTGTTTATGTTATTGGTTTATGTAGAAAGTAGAAGAAAGGTGTGGTGTTTGGGAATGAGTAGAACTTGATGAAACACTTCAAGTTATGCAACGTGACATTTTGAGCTTTAGAAAAGAACTGGAAGAAGTAAAGAATAAACAATTTACTGTTAAGTGTTTGTTGGTTGTTTTCATTGTGATGTGTATTTAGTCTTTTGCAGATTAATTGTAATCATAAAGAATAGACTAATGCTAAGGTTGTGTTGGTTGTAATCTTTTAGATGGTGAAATGGTATTTCTAATCTTTTGAAGTTGTATTAAGATGTAATGTACTTTGTAACACTTATTTTGATATGAATGGGATCTGATTTGTTATATTATTTTGATATGAAACAAATTTCACAGAAACAGATTTCAAAGTAAGATGCTAAAGTAGAATCAAAGTAGGTTGATAAAATAGAAATTGTTTTGACCAATTTACCCTTGGATTTGCAGTTTTGGTAAAACAAATTTCATAGAAATAGATTTCAAAGTAGGATGATAAACTAGAAATTATTTTGACCAATTTATCCTTGGATTTGCAGTTTTGGTAAAACAAATTTCATAGAAACAGATTTTAAAGTAGCATGCGCATTAATAGAAACAGTTGTACTACAAAATACCCTTAACACATTAATCAAAATAACCTTGAAGCAGGTTATGACCAAAATACCCCTTAACTAGTATCATAGTAGCATTACATCATTCTAGTAGTAAGGTAGCATAGTTACATTACAAAGGACTTAAGGTTTGTTACAAATTCCCTGCAAAAGACTAAAAGTTTGTGTTAGACAAAAGATACTAGTAGTAAAAAAGCACATCATTCTAAAGTTACTGGCTTGTTTTGACTGCAACCAATCCCGCCTTTGGGGAAAACTTTCTTACTTAGACCAATATTGGTTATACGTTCCGAAACTTTCCTCTTTCGCACATGCATCTTTCCAATTCTTGAAGCTTTGGGAGCTTGAACAGGAGCTTCAATAGAAGCTTGAACAGGAGCTTGAACAGGTTCTTGTACATATTCTTGAACGGGTTCTTGTATAGGCTCTTGTACGGGTACATGTCCACTCCATTTCCAGTTGTACTTCCCCTTCCATTTGTAATTCCCCTTCCTGAGAAAACAAACTAGTATTAGTTTCCAATTACATAGAACTACACTAAATAAATTCATTTTTACCTTTTCCTAGACAACTTGATTTCTTGTGTCCAATGCCTCTGCAAGTACTACACTTTTGCAACCCTTTTGCACATGATATTGTATGCGTCTTTTTACCTGTACCTTCTAATTCTAACTTATCCTTTGTTCGTTTAACTTTTGGTCTGCTCGGTAGTCTTTTTTTTTTGGAGGTAAATGCTTCTGATAAATTGTTTTCGGCCACATTGGACTACCATGTAAAGGGTGGACATTGTAAGTGTAGCTTGAAAGGAAACTTTGTTTTCTAGAACAAGGTGCCACATACGATTGTGCATTGTGATTCAAGTATGCAATTACAGCCAAGCCATGCAAGCATGGGATACCTCTCAACTGTTAACTTCTACATTCACATACCCTTCTGATTAGATCCACATCAAATGCATCATTACCAAATCTTACTTCAAATTGTTTATAGCCACTTGGATAAACTCCTCAAAAACTGTAAAAAAAGCAAGTTAACACCCCAAATCAAATCAATCATTAGCTACTGTAAATTTAGAACATTAGGTTACTTACCTTTGAGTTATATTATTATCTTGTAACTCCTTTCTAATTGTTGGGAAAATATCCAAATCCCACTCTTCACCCATGATCCTTTAATTATACATCCTCTCCGTGGCCCAAACCCTTATTTCTTCCAACATTGTGATGATCGGCTTTCTTCTAGCATCCCAGATTGCATTATTAAAACTTTTTGAGACACCATTTTCCATAGCATCACAGATCCTCCCTTCTACAAAGAAAGCCTTTGACCAAGATTTTGGTTCCCTTTCAATAAGATGATCATAGGCATTGGGGTATAATTTCTTAATTCCATCCACGTCTTCTTCAAACTGTGGTACAATGGTACTATTTACAGCAACCCAAAACAATTTCCTGTAATGTTCATCAGCAAACTTCTTCTTAAAATTAGCATATATGTGCCTAACACATTGCCTATGCTCAGCTTCTGGAATCCTTTCTTTCACAGCTTCTAACAGTCCCTGTCAAAATTAAAACATGTTGGTGAATGTAAAACTTAATGTTAAACAATTAAAAAGTAAAAAGCATAAAGCAAAAAGAAAGCAATCTAATACCTTATGTCCATCTGAAATGATAGTAAGCCGACTACCATTTCCTCCTCCAATGTCATCCACGAGAATGTCAAGAAACCACTTCCAATTAACTTTATTCTCAACATTTACCACAGCCCACGCGATAGGGTAGATGTTGTTATTCGTATCTCTACCCATTGCTGCAAGAAGCTCACCCTTACACAAGCCTTTCAAGAAGCAGCCATCTACACAAATCACCTTTCTACATCCCTTTATCCAACCATCCCTAACACCTTTGAAGCAGACATAATACTTTGAAAAATATATAGTTGAGTCAGGCATGATGTCCACATCCATTCTTACCGTAGACCATGGGTTAGACCTCATAATCTCCTCACCATAATCCCACAATCTTCCATAATGCTCAACCAAAGCACCTTCAATCTTACTCAATGCAAACCTTCTTGCATTTCTATACTGCCCCAAACTAACACTAATATTAAATTTTTTGGAAATTTTAGCTTTCATTTTCATTAAGCTCATTTTTGGTCTTTATAATATTTCATTAACAAAATGCTTCCTAATCCTATAACTCACAATTACTCCAAGTTTGAATGACCTGGAGCAATTGTGATCATCTTTCAGTGACTTAATTTGAAAAGAATGTTCGTCCTTCATCCAAGTGGCCTAGAGTCTAAATGGACATTTATGTGTTGTACCTTTTCTATATTTAGCTAACAACTTGTTCTTATCACTTTTTTCATACCATAAACTGTATCCATGTCTAACAACATAATTACTTAGTAAACATTTAAGCTCATCGGGGTCAGAAAACTTCATACTAGTATAGGAACCATCTTTTTCCAATTTTGGTTTGGATCATGGACAGGATACATTGGTTTCACATCAACTTCTTCGTCTGTTGCATCTGTTTCGGAACCATCTTCCGATTTCTTTTTGTGACAAAGGGCATTAAGAAATGAATCATCAAGTGGTTTCTTACTTGAAACCACCTCATTCTCTTCATAGTCAGGTAATATCGCATCCGGAAATGTGGAATCATTAACTTCATCTTCATCCTCTATAACCGAATCATATATATCAGGATTCTCCGCCCCAATCCAATTGAAAATGGGTTCACTGTACTGATCAATGTACACATTAATTCTTTTTTCTTGGCTTCCATTACCAACCTTAAGGAACTCTCTGTAATATCCTTCATTATGAATTACTCCTAACCCTTCACTCAACCTTTCATGTGGAAGACAGTAGTAAACATCCTTGCAGTTGATCTTCTTTGTGAGCTTTTCAAGGAGGGTATTGAAATCTGAAAATACCATAGCATTGAAGTCGACATCTCATACAGATGCAATGTCTAGGTCGAAATATGCAACAGGTTGGGGGGATATACACCATTATAGTGGACATCCACGATGAGCGATGATCCCTTCGTCATTACAGTCAAAGAAATAGAAAGCGATTTCAATTGCAAAGGTTTGACATTGCGAACGAAGAGAAAGGGGAACGATGGAATGAAGGAATGAAAGCGGTTGTTTTTTTTTTGTTTATGAGCCCTAATTCCAATTACCAAGTAATTTCATTTAATGACACCTAATACAACATAATGCCACATAATATGCCAAATCAACAAAAACCTACGATCATCGGTCATATTATCTTAATATGTACAGGTCAAACAAGTTCAATTAGCAAATGTATACGAAAAAAACATTGTTACCTTAATGTGTACTGACCCTAAATTACGCTACCTTTCTATGTCATTAACCCTTATAGAATCGAAGTTAACCTGCTTAGTTGGCATAGTGATGTGGCAAAAAATAAGACAATTTATTGACACGTGCCCATAATTTAACAAATAGAAAAGGATAATGTTGACAACAAAACAATCTTCCTTTTTAGATCACATATATATATATATATATATATATATATATATATATATATATATATATATATATATAATGATTATTCATTTTTTAAATTTGTCATATTAATTTTGTAAGAACCACTTGTATAAAATTAATACTCTTTAAAATGAAATCTATTGCCACATCAACAATCATTTTATACTTTTTAACAAAATTTATTTGTTTATATCTAATATGTAAATATATAAAAATAAATCAATTCATAACAATTGTAATTAATTATGTTTAATTATAGATATTTAAGTACAACTTAATATTTAAATTGTCTTTGTTGATAAATTATATAATTTTAAAAATTATTAACGAATTTTACTTATCCCGCTTTAGTTCACTAATTTGTGGAGACTTTTAATTATCCTATATAATTATAGTAAAATAATAATATAAAAATAATAAAAAAATATATAGGACATTGTAGATGGTCTTTCAGCAGTTGAAAAAGGAATTGTGAATAATATCAATGACATGGCACTCCATTTGCAAGAAGGATTTGAAAGCCTTCTTGAAAGACTACAAACCTACAGATACGAGTGCTCTAGGTCTATCATAAAAAGCTTGTTTCGGGCAAGGATTTGATCCTTAATTTCTTCAACAACATATGGCTTATTTCTATGCTGGCAATGTTGAGTCATTTGTGCTACGACATCGACTACTTGTTCAAAATCTTACTAGCATAACACTTATGCTCCTGCTAGCTTTGACATGTATCCAGAAATCAATTGGACTTCTAGAAATCAATACTTATTGACTTCCTTACCAAAGTTCAGATTTCTGATACAAGATGGTTCGATAAGCCTTTATCTAAGCTCATACACCTTTTATTAGAAATCTTATATGTGTATCTAAACCATTCAGAACTTACAACAATAAGTTCTGAATTTTCAAACTATTTGCCATTTCTCACAATTCAAACTATGAAGAGTGATGTCGTAATCATAATCAAATTTGAGAACGCAATTGATACAATTACTACATCCTTAAAATCTACTTAGTGAAAGCGTTTCCTCACAATCATTTTCATGAATTGGAGAGAAACCTTATGAAACTTAGATTTTATGGTGTATGTGTTCCTATCCATGTTAAACTGTCATTTCCAACCATTATCATTAGATAAGGTCTATGGCAGATTCAAACTCATATGGACTGAACTTGTTCAATCTTAATTTCTTGCCACTTGGCAGCACAAGGGCCTACCATGTCTTCCAAGTTGTTAAGCAGCTCACCCTTACTGATTAATGAACTTTCACTTATCAAGGTGCTTTGCCCTATGCAAACAATTAAGAACTCATAGAATTCACATGCATAGAAAACTTTAACTGGAATGGGCACATAAACAAGAATATGTCAACATGATAGGTAACAAACCTCAAATCGTGTGCTAGCGATACACAATATATTTTATTCTTGATTAGTTCTTGAAGCTTTTCAAGATCTTTAAGACCCCCACTTACTTCTTGACATATAAGATTCTCTTATCAAGAATCATTCATTGACAAACAAATATTCAAGAGTTAGTGCAGATTCTTATCAAGAGAAACACCTCATTTAATTTGGTCTTAGGTGGTTTTTGTTTTATCCAAAACATCACAACTACCAATTTCAAATGTGCAAGAGCAAAAAAACTTTTCTACTCCACATTTCATGATGTGTTACAAACCTTCTTAGGACATGTCACTCAAGGCACAATGTTGGAGAATGACTCTAAGACTTGATTTTGGAACGAAGTATGATTCACCTTAATTAATTTAACCATTTCAACAATTCCCGATTCCTCTTCTTAGCTATACAAATGTACTGTTGGAATAGTGTCTAAGGCTGCAACTATATTAGGCAAGTATTTGATCCGGTTGTGCATGGTCCTTTTGGGTTGCCTTCACCATAGCAACTTGATGGATGATTTGTTAAAGAGAGTAAATATTATAAGGAATAATATATGGTTATTTGATTAATATAAGTCATAGATTAATTGGAATTAATTTGGTGACTTAAAGAGATTAATTAAATAAGAGGGTATAAACTGTCAATTGTTTGATAGTTACACTTTAGACTATAAATCCTTATCCTAGATAGGATGGACGATTTCTAGGGCTTGGATAAGCCAAAATCGTCCATAGGGTTATCTATGGAATGGATTTGGATAGCCTTAAGAGAAGATTATCCAATTAGGGTTTAGGTTGTAACCCTTAAGGAGTCTACAAGTATAAATAGACCTAGGGGTGAGGGAATTCGACACACCATCTAAAGTAGAGATACTCTGGCCGAATTCCTCCCCTCTCCTCTCTCCTAAATCATCTTGCTTGCTATTGGTGTTTGTAAGCCATTAGAGGAGTGACATTTGTGACTCTAGAAGCTCCAAGACAACAAGATCAACAAGGAACTCAAAGGTATGATTCTAGATCTGTTTCAATGTTGTTATTTAACCTAATTAGCCATTAGAAGTCTTGGATTCAAAGCATGTTTAATTAGAAAGCCTAGATCCAAGCATTAGGGTTTTGCATGCGCACATAGGAAAGTTCTTATGGCTAAAACCCATCAGTGGTATCAGAGCCTAGCTTGGTTTTCTTTAAATTGTTGCTTGATTAACTGAAACAAACCTGCAAAATTCGATTTTGGGTTTATGAGTCATGTACTCGGCGAGTTCCAAAGTGGACTCGGCGAGTAGGCCTGTACTCGGCGAGTCCGAGCGTCTGGATTAGGCAAAACCGGGATTTTTTCATGTTTATCTTATGGAAACTTACCTTAATCATATTAGATCAACCCTAATCGATTTTTTGATATATATGACTATTATCTTGATCTAATTAAAGATATTTATCATCTAATAAAATATTTAATTTCCTTATGTGATAAATGATTAATTATTTTGATAATTATCTTAAAAGAAATCTTGGATAAATCAAATAAAGATAATTAGGATATTAATTGTTAATTGGAATTATTTGTTATTTGATCCTTCATGTTTTAAATGTTTAAAACCTACCCTAAAGTTTTGAAATTTATATTTGTGATTAAAAGTTTTAATTTAGACAACTTAAATTTCAAACCCTAGATTTTAAAAGGTTTTAAAATACAACCCTATACTAATATGATATTACTAGAATAATATATATATGTATAACTAAATGCTAGTCTTACCGTTAGTAGGCCTCATTCACGAAGCCGATCTATAAGGTGGGTATAAGGTTGCGGCCTATAAAATGGCGCTTAATGGGTGTACACTCACACCCACCGCTTGCTTGATTGGTGGAGGGTCGTTAGCCGAACGGGTAGGATAGGGCAACCTCATCCTCTCATTAAAAGTATAATAAGAAATACAAAGTAACTACACGTTTTAAAAAATTTCCCAATCTTAGTTACTTTAGGAAAAGTGAATTGATGCAATCCCATGAAATTACACTTTGCACCTTGCTAAGAAGTTAGTGGAGCGTGTGTGGTTTACCGGCACACTAATTGGTTCTAAGCGAAGGTGGCAAAGGGTGATTCATTGTTTATCATAGTTCGATGGAGCGTGTGTGGTTTACCGGCACATCGAATAGGTGATCGTTACAATGAAGGCACCATGTGAATTTGCATGGTAATTCACACCCGCTTTGTGATCCTCGGCATCCCAGTCACAAACGAGAGGGGCATATCGAGATTTAAACATGCCATTGAATAGTTCAATGAATCTCATCCGAACCTAGGAATTCTCAAAAACACTTAGGACTAATAGTTTAAGTTTTGTAATGGAGAATTAGTGAATCGTCATTCACTTACCTTCAATTTATTTGCATGTTAGATTACGGCATCCCTTTTCTAGTATGTAAATGTTATTGTTGGATCCTAGCCCTAATTTTCTTATTGGGTGATAATTAGGGATTCTTATTCTAATCTATCTTTGTCCTTTCTATAGATGTCGAACGCAAACAACGCTGCTGCTAGTTCTTTCACGTTGATGAGCCTTTGCCAAAAGGTCACCTTCGATGGAACGAACTTTAGCGAATGGATAAGATACATTCGCACCATTGCTCGCTATGAGGATAAAGAGTATGTCCTCGATGAGAAGCTCGAGAAAATCAACCCCGAAGTTGCTACTCCCGAAGAAATCACCGCCTTTGAAACTCATGAGCGAGATGCAACGAAGGTACATTGCATCATGATCGCCACCATGAACTCCGAATTCCAAAAGTCCTACGAGGACATGTATCCATACGAGATGCATCAAGACTTGTTGGAGAGATACCACCAAAACGCGAGACAAGAGCGTTATGAGATTTTCACTAACATGATCTCCGCTAAGATGGGTCATGGAGAATCTCTTACCGTGCACCTGCAAAAGATGCAAAGGTATGTCGACCGCCTTCGCAAGTTAAATGTTGACTTCGGTGAAGACTTGGCGATCGACATGGTGC